ATGACCAGCTAGCGGCATTTTACGATATATACAACCATGACTCTCTACCTTAACATTCAAATTGAAAAATCACTAGTAAAAAAGACCATATGCCAAGATAACGCTCTCTTACTCCCAAAAGATGAAAATTAGAAGAGCCAAGAGCACTTTTAGAGTGCAAAAGGCTTTCATTAACATGATCACGCTTAGTAAGAAAATTCATTCAAAACACAAACATATAAGATTAATTTGAAAAAGCTATACTGAGTTAAGAAAAATGATAAGAATGAAAAAGAAAATAAAATGAAAAGCATACCTCTTTGACAAAATAATATCGGTCTGTTTTCGTCAAATCAACCCACAACCCTACTTTCTTTCCTTTGACAGCAGGGTGATTGAAAACGTCCTCAGGATGGAAGCGCAATCGTTTCTCGATTTGATCGTCATAGAGGGAGCACAGAGGTGTTTTGAAAGGGAAAAACAAACCATCCACCACCTAAAGAAATTTTGAATTCTGAGAAGTCGTCCAATTTGTTATATTAAAATCGTTACAGAAATTAAGATGGGTATGGATGGGTCAGTTATCTTTAGAAGAAAACATGAAAAAAAAGAAAAAGCACAACGGAATATACTGAACTAATATGCTAACCTGATGAAATAAAAGGAGAATGTGAAAACACGAAACAGATGCACTGAATTACGAGAGATGTATGTCAAATCTGCATACCTTCCCAGTTTTAGGACAGTGCATCCACCGGTCGGGCACTCCTATCAGAGCCTTTTCTGGAGTAGGCCCACTCATATCTGCAGAGGAAGTTACTGAATCACCGGGAAGCACGATATTTTCTCGAAAAACAATGAACAAATAATAAACAATAAATCTTCATAGATATGTAGATATGTCAAGAAAATGTTTAGAATGACAAGGAATGCTCATCGAAGTTTAGTAGAATTCCAGAGAAATCCGAACAAAGTTCTCAGCACAGAGAGCTAGAACCTTGAAACTACATATGGTCTAACCTTGCACATATGAGTCATGAAAGAATCAAAAGAGTTTTATAAAAAATAAAAAAGCTTAAAATTTTTAATTTTACAAGATTATCTTCAATTAGAAGCTGACGGCAAACATCTCCAGCTTGACCGTTTAAAGGTCTGATCATGGTTAAGTCCGCATAGAGCGCATTATTTTACTGCCCCGGGAGGCGGCGCATTCCAAATTTTCAGAAGCAAGGATTTAGGCCCTTTAGGCTTGTGGCAAATTACATCAAACCTTAGGATACTATGTCTCAACTGTTGTATTTTTAGTACATTTGTCTCTTATGATAGAGCTAAAGAGTAGACCTTCTAATTGTCTTTTTTTGATATGACAGTGAGCCTTCGGGTAAAAATTATGCATCTAATGCACACTTCCCTCTTTTTCATTTGTAACTCTACGTTGCTCCTTGATCTTCTACTAGTTTTATTTCAAGCGTGACCGGGTAACCGTAAGCTTCTCAAATTATGTCGTAAGTTTCAATGTTCTGGAAGTGACCAATTTAGCGTTCTTTGCGAGATGCCACTTTCATTGTACTCAACGTACTTACACAATAAACTCAGAGATTGAAGAAAATTTAATCCACTCATAGTCATCATCCTTGTCGAACTTTTCATTCGAAGATCAATTTAACCGCACAATTAGTGAGAGATCATCCCGATACCACTGTACTTACAGCCATTTAAAGGCGTCTCATGACATTTCGTCCAGATATGACATTATGACATTTTTGTTTAATGTTTATGACGTTTCATTCTGAATGAAAACTTGATAAACAACCAATACTACCATGCTTAGAGAGATTGAGCGTTTTAAATGACTTTTAAATGGACTAAGCTGTACAATGATTACATGATACAACAAGCAGGACAGTGTGAATTGCAAGGTGGTGACCACCGCAAAAGTAAAAGGTAGAACGAAAGTTGTTAAAAGATAGTGTCCATAGATAGGCTTTTACCATAAACGAACGAATATTGTTTGAAAACCCACATGTTTCAATATATATTCCAAATGTACGGAAAATAAATATTTTTTCATTCTGCCAGAAATCAGCTTTGATTCGCAGTATCGCTTGCAGTGTTGTCCGACTGACGACTGGCTTCGTATTTGTTGATTGGTCTCTTCCCAGTGCGCATTTTGAAGCTTCTCGTCCCACGCTAGCTGCACAATGAAGTGCTTCCTATCATTCGAACACTCATTCTTAGTATTTATTATTTATCCGATCTCAAATTCTGTACACTGACTCAATAAAGTTTTGTCTTTAAGCACAGGTAGTTTAAATTGCGTGTAGTCGACAGTATCCCTATTCGCTATATCAATATGAACACTTGTCACAACAATTTCTGCAGGTTAAACAGCTTTTCTGTAAGGTCGACAACTTCGAATATATCAGCATTTTGCAGCGACCACAAGTTTTAGGCGGGCCTAATTTGCTCGAACAATCTTGGATTAAAGAACCAACCTGTTGAACCAATTCTATAAAAAGATAGTCTAGAGCAATACGCTGGTGAACACGAGAAATTCGACATACCCGATAGTGAAGAGAAGGCGTGAGCAAAGGGAAGTGGGAGTTTGCGAAATATTCTAGTTCACAATAACAAACACACAGTTTAAAAAACTCTGAAAAGTTGTATTGCCTACAAAGCATATGCACAACTCACATGCATTTCATAAACTTGGCACAATTCTGCGCAGTTGAGATTTGATATTTGATGTGCAATTGCATCATAAGTTCCAATCAAAAGTTCTCTCAGTGTGCTTACAATTTCCAATTTTTGACCATGAACTTTGTGCCACCGCAATCGCACTTTTCGGGATAAGAAGAAGACAAATTTTAGCCATTTCTTCTCGGATTTAAGCCCACTGCACAGTATCGCCTTTGTTCTGTTCATTATCGAATTTTATTGCTAACTTTTATGTTTAGTCCCTCATCTTCCTTGCAATCAAGCAGCAATACTTTTGGGAGCAACAGTTATAAAGACACTTGAAGAAATGGTGTATCTCGCTTTCTTCTAAATTCTGGGATTTAGTTAAAGAGTGACTTTCTTACTATTCCATCAGATGCTGGAGCAGCTTTCGATTTTGTGCGAGCTGTAAAAAAAAAACGAAACATTTTAGAAATGCGCAATAGAAGGTAGGTGAAAATGACAAAGGTACTTTTTTGTT